CTGTTCCCATCTGTCAAATACAGTCTCCGTTGGACTTGTGTGAGGGTCCCAGCCCATAAAGCTGGCCTAGGCTAATGCTCGTTAGGCTCTTGACAAAGGGAGGTGGGGGCCATGCCAGATGGGGACCCTATAAGCACAGTTCTTCCTTTCAGGTGTCCTAGCAGACAGGGAGAGCCCAGAGCAGCCCTTCGTGGCTCTGAACAAGGATCAGTCTTCACAGACCCATGTAAGGCTGACTGGGGTCCCCAGAGCCCTGGTTGCTTAAATGGCTGACCCTGGGGAGGAGGGTGACCCCACCTGTACCCCTGAACAGGTGGGGATCACAAGATCTTTGCAGTGCATATGATGTAGCGTTTGCATAGTGTTTGGGGCATGAAGTAGAGCCCCCCCTTCTTGGACAGAACCCTAGATGTGGGATGGTTGGACAGGGGAGGGGGTTGGCGATGAAAGGACACCCGTAGAGAGCTGTTCACTGTCAGTCTGACAGTGTTATGGTAGTTGCCCCATGCTCAGTCATCTTGGAGTCCAGCAGGCCCCACAGCTGGCCAGCTAGCTCCGCTTCACACCTGATGGAGTTCCAGGGCGGCCCTGGGAAGGCCACGGTGTCCAGTTGCCGGCCCCGTTTCTTCTGCAGGGCATAGGGCCCAGCAGCAGCGAGCCCCCGGAGAAGGAGCGGCGGCGCCTCAAGGAGAGCTTCGAGAACTACCGCAGGTGTGGGACGGCTGGCAGGACGGCAGGGAGGGCGGGGCACTTGCGTTTACCTACTCACACGCCAGGTCCCACAGGAAGCGGGCGCTCCGCAAGGTGCAGAACAGCTGGCGACAGGACGAAGGGGACCGCGGGAACACCACGGGCAGCGACAACACCGACACGGAGGGCTCCTAGCGCACCGCACCGAGGCTGAGCATCTGTGTAATTGTGAAGGGGTGCTGCGTTTTTTACTGTACGCTACACATGCATTGTACAAGTATTGGAAAGTGCAGCTAAATAAAATGACCACCCAGCTGAGCCTGTTGGGCGGATATGCAAGCTGGTGACACCAGGGGGCGGCAGAGTGTAACGCGCCCGTGGCTTACGGAAGCCGAATAAGGGCGCTTCCTGTCACAGCGCCCGTTTCCAAAGTGGCCGATGCAGCCTCAGTCGAACGGGGCTCCGCAGGAAGGAGTGACTAAGGACCGCTGTCGGGATGTTGCGGGCAGCGCTGGGCCGCGTGCCGACATTACTCCGTAGTGTGCCGACCCAGGATCCCAGACTCGGGCAGCTTTGGCATTCAGGGTGTCTTCTGAGAACCTCGGGGAGATGTCGGGGCTGGGCCCGGGGCTGGCGGAGCTCGAGCTCCATGCCGGGATCAGGGCATGTGACAGCGCTGGGGCGCGTACAAGTGGACCACTACCAGCTCATTTACACCTGCAAGGTGGGCGCTCTCAGCAGCACCCAGGGCAGTTTGATTTTCTGAAGGTGTAGCGTTCTGGCAGAAAGCCGTAGCTTTCTGGACGGGGAGGGGCGGGGTCTTCACGAAATAGCTAGAGAGGGGTGGAGCTATCTATGAGGGACAGGGCCTTCTGGGAGAGGCGTTGGATTATCAGGAAAAGGGTGGTCTAGGAAGAAAGGGGTTGGGCCATCTCCTAAATAGGACCCTTTGGGAAGGGGCTAGGGCTGTCTCTCAGAGTGGAGTTAGTCCATAGGAGGGACATTCCTGTGTGTACCTGGCCTGACCACCCCTCTAACCCAGCCAGGTCTGTGGGACTCGGTCATCCAAGCGCATCTCAAAGTTGGCCTATCACCAAGGCGTGGTCATCGTGACTTGCCCTGGCTGCCAGAACCACCATATCATCGCAGACAACCTAGGCTGGTTCTCTGACCTGAAGGGCAAGAGGTGAGGCCGGCTGGGAAGGTAGGAGACAGTAGGATTGTGGCCCTATATGAGCCTGGGTCCTGCGTTGCCTGCCTGGGCCAGCACTTGGTTTTGTTGGGACCCCTCTCTCTACCTGGACAGCCCAGCTTCCTCATGGATTTAGAAACAGTTGAACTTCAGATAAAGTATGAATGGCCTCCAGATGTGGCAAACTATACCTCTGGGCAGCTCAGTCTAGTTCTATGGCTCTACCTCTGTTACTGCCCGACCTCTGATCTGTCCAATGGCTTTGCCACTTTCTAGTGGAGGTTTTTTGTCCTCTGCCAACTCAGGGCAGATGGGAGAGTAGGTGTCAGACTGTGGAGTAGGCGTTGGCCTTCAGATGGTCTCACTTTTGGGAGAGCAATAGGGAGGGCCACGAGTGAGTGTAGAGAACAGGTCTATGGCTATGCCCAATGGCTTCTTAGTGTTCTGTGAAGAGAGGGCAGTGGTAAGAGTATGGGCAGAGCCACAAGGAGAGCCTGTGAGATAAAACTTGCAGGCCTTGGGTCTCTAGGGTGCTGCAGAGAAATCTCAGTTCCTATATGTAGGAACAGGACAGAACTGCATGGATGGCTGCTACCTGGTGAGAGGCAGCCAAGACTCTTCGTGGTACACTGTGCAGGTGAGATGTCTTCTGAGGTGGTGCTTGTTAACACACAATTGTTGAAGGTTCCAATAGGTGCCTTGGAGGTACTGCTGCCACTTGGATGCTGGGACACGTGTTATAGGCCCAAGATGACCTTGGGATACCCTTGAGGGGGTCCAGTGTAAAGCCGATGCTGCCTTCTTGTCTTGCAGAAACATTGAAGAGATCCTAGCAGCCAGAGGAGAGGAGGTGCACCGGGTGTCTGGTGACGGTGCCCTGGAACTGATTCTGGAGGCTGCTGAACCACCTGCTACCCCAGAAGGGGGTGAGGATCCCAACCACCCTGGCAAAATGGAACAGAGCTGACCTGTGTACTCCTGCCGCTGTAGACTCACAAAAGTCGCTCTACTCACCTGGAGCTTCTCAAGTGTGCTGCTTTCTTCTCAGTAAACAATCACCTCCAGGTCCTGGGCCTGGGCTCTTTTTTTTTTTTTTTTTCTGAAGTCAGAATAACTCTGTGGCTCTAGGACTGAGCTTCATGAACATTCCACCTCTTAAGAGGAATCCCTTTATTCCTGTGTGCAGTGGTTCTCCTTTTTAAATCGGGCTGTGTCTGGGTGTTGACTTAGACTTGTGGCCTTGGGCAATTTTTGTTCCTCAGAACTCTGTACTACTTCCTCCTATATTACCTGCCATCCCCTGGCTAGCGCTGGTGGCTTCCTTCCGTTGCCTGAGCTAGTGTCAAGCCCAGCCCTAAAGCTTGGCTTTTGTAGCAGAACAGGCTGCTCAATGTGGCCAGAGACCTGTAGAACACTGCACAGATGCTTAGGAGAGTGATCCAGAGAGTCCCCCTACCCCGTGAGCTGGCTGCACCTCCAATCTTCCTGTGTTGAAACCTAAGAGGAGATGGGTGGAAGTGATGAGGGCCATATGATGCTTACCTTGGTGTATGGTTCATCTCCTAACTTTGTTTGACATGCCTTCAGGATGTTCTTGTGTTCAGGAAAGCAAGCAGATGCAAGACCAGGTCAGGCTTTTTACAGGAGTCTCTGGGCCCTGTGATGACCTTCAGCATTAATCACCATCCCATCTGGCAGGGAAAGACCTGGGACAGGAGGGTGGGGAAGGCAGCTGAGTACAGTATGACAGTGACACAATGCCTCCCTGTCTCCAGGGACCCAGCCGGTGATTAGCAGTTCACTCTGGGCCGTGGGAGGCTGGGTGCACTTGCAATCTGTGCCTCCACTCGATTACCCCCTGTCCTTTCCTTGGCAAACACCCTGCTATTATCCCCACCCAGCACCTCCTGTACCATTTGTGCCAACTGTCATAGACCTAGAATCAGCGCCAGCCTCCTCCAGGCTGCTCCCTGTGGAGGACACAGAGGTCAGAGGGGGCCGACGGAGTTGGTTATGGGCCTTCAAGTGGGGCCTGACCAGTCTGCCTTGTCTTCAAGTGTCTGGACCAGAGTTTGAGGAGGCCTGGAGCTGGTAGACCTGATGGTGCAGAACTGGATCTAGGGTACTTCCTCTGGATGTCAAAGCCAGCAGTTTGGACTTATCTCGTGTGTGTGCCTTCTACGTGTTGCTGTGCCTCATTTGGGGCCTTGCTGCTTCAGAGCCTTCCTTTCCAGGGAGCTCTCCTGGACATCAAGTTTTCTTCACTTTAAGCCTCACCTTCCACACAGTCCATTACTGCAGAGTCCACACTCTACCCTGTTCTGCAGACTCACGCTGGGCCACTGTTCCCACTCATGTGGCCAGGTACCTGGCAGCCTGAAATTCTCCTGACTACTAGTTAAGCTGTCTACACCTTCCTCCCGCTCTGTAGAGACTTTAGTACAACCGTAGCCCAGGATCCTAGTACCTCTTGGCAGACCATTGCTTTCAGCCTGACTCCTGTGGGGTGGCTCAGCTCTCTCTCCATTCCCTTCTCATGGCAGCTGCCTTCGGCAGTGCTCCCAGCACCTGAGCAGTTCCAGCCTTCTTGGAAGAGTATGGCTGCCTCTAGAGCAACCACAGTGCTCCAGACTAGAGACTTTTCTAGGCTATTTTACTAGTCTTAGCTTATCTTCTGCCTCCCTTGGCTCAGGTTAGGCCTCTCCCCAGAGGGCCCAATCAGGACATGAGTTCCATGGGGTGTTGCTCACCACATGAACACTAAAAACAAGTCAGATCTTCTCCAAGCTTCTATTCCTTAGACTGGCCAAGCCCAGCCCCTGCAACATGAACTGCTAGGAGAAAGGGAGCCCTGTGGCTGAGTCCAATCCAGTTGGTGAGGCAGTACCACAGGCAGTCCCTATAGTGTTTACTGTGACATCCCTGGCCTCTGTTACCTGTCTTTGGTAACAGGTCTCTGGTAGTCAGGATTATGGGGACAACAGAGAATGCAGCAGATAGAGGCCTTGGCCCAGCTCCTCATTGCTGCATGCAGCAGGGACACCTCCCTTGTGGTTGCAGATGGCTTGTATCACGTCCTGGGAAGGCTGACTGACACAAATTCCAACAGAAGCCACACTCACTTGGCAGACTTTTATTTTTGGGTAAAACAAAACAAACGTACCTCTCGGGTTGGAAAGGACCCGTGAACAACATGGCAAACACGTGTGAGCAATAAATACGCATGTACATTCAAGTATGCGGGCGGCCACCAATGTCCCGCCCAAGACCCTGTGCTCTGTTATCTGCTTCTGTCCTCAGGTCCAGCTTTTCAGTTTCCCTTGCTCTGGCCCCTTCTAGGCTGCAGGGTAAGAGGCCCTGGGTTAGTAGGTTGTATGGAGCCCTCCAGTAGGGCTGGCTGTAGTACCTGCAGGCAAGAGCTGGGACCATGATCCCCAAGTGACTGTCAAGGATAATCTCAAGATGCCTGCCTGAGTCTCCACCCCAACCACAGTGCCCTGTATCCAACTCAGATATTACAGCTGGACCCCTCCTTGGGGAGAAAGCCAAGATACCGTCTCCCTAATAAAACGGGGGGATGTCCACTGGGGAGACTGGAGATCTAGCTGATCAGATTCCTCATGAATACCCACTGCCACCCAGCACTCCTAGGATAAGATCCTGCCTGTGTTTTTGGCTTGGAGGCTTGCCTTGTCCCTTTGCAGGGACAAGATCCATCCTTCCTCAAAGGGTAACTGCAAGGCTGAGGAATATCTGGACTGTCAATCTCCCATAGCAAGGTTGGGCACAGACAGGCCAGGATAGGGCCTGCCCTGGGGAGGTGAGGCAGATCAGAGTGTATCTCCTGCGTAGCCATCCCAGGACCAGCTGGGGGACAGAACATGCCTTGCCACTGTAGTCCCCTTTTCCCCCAGAAGAGTCTTTGAAGCCCCTCTGGGGAGCTCGGGGAAGTTGGCAGAGTTTCACATTTGGCAGGGCAAGACTTGAGAAGAATCTGGACAGCACCGGGGCTTGGGGCCAACATGCTGAAGGCCCGGCCTGGAGCAGGGCAGGGCAGGGCCTGCAGGAAGCTGTGGACCATATGGGGACAGAAGCATGCCCTTCCCCATATAGCAGCTCTAGCCTGGGCCCACCACCCTGGGGGGAGGGTTGTCCTTGAAGGCTGTGCCCACTATCTGGCTCAGTGGGAAAGGGCTGGGGGCTGAGCTGGCTCTCCATCATGGCCTTGGGAGGATTTGGCTTATTGAAGGATCATGGCCACTGTGGACAACTGTGAGGCCCCAGAGCCCAGGGTAGGGCATGCCTGGCTGCAGGGGTGTGGCCTTAGCTGGCACCTGGTGGACACTGCTGCCGGGGATCAGGCAGCCCACTGGCCTCCTGCTCTGGGCTCCCAGCAAGGTCCACACGCTGCTCATCCATCCGCTTAGCCTGCACCCTCTGGATAAGGCTGAAGAAATCCTCATCAGGCATGGTGGGGCCTCGGGGCAGCACATCGGGGGGTGGACAGCGCTGGTCATCAATCCTGGAGGACTGGACAGACATACAGTGTAGGTTGGTGGTCTTGCATTTCTTGGACCTTTGGAAGGCCTATTCTGGCACTGGGTGGGTGATGGGCTTATTGAAAATGAGGACAGCAGGAGGCTGGAGAGATGGCTCAGAGTTAAGAGCACTGTCTGCTCTGCCAGAGGTTCTGAGTTCAGTTCCCAATAACCACATGGTGGCTCACAACCATCTATAAATGAGATCTGGTGCCCTCTTCTGGCCTGCAAGCACACATGCCACAACACTGTATACATAATAAATAAATCTTAAAAAAGAAAAAAACAAGGGCAGCAAACACTGGCTTAGGAGAAGTGGTGTAATCCAAGTGGGACCTGTTTCAGTCACCTCTTGCCTCCTGATTCTGCTAGTGCTAGAAGTAGTGCTAGAAGCCCTGCCCTGGCAACATCTCTTTAAGACTCCCCAGACCTGTGGCTAGCCAATCTAATAGAAAGGACTGGATGGTATATTCTGGACATAGAACAAACCAGCAGCTACCAGGCAGCCCTAAGCCCAACTGAGGGGACGTGCCAATGCAAACACTGTATCCCTACAACTACCCTGGAACCTGCCATAGCCCTGGACTGCCCTTGGAGGGCCTGGGGGTCGCAGCTCAGGGCCTGTTGCTTGGAAACCACCACCGCCCCCCAGTCCTCCCCAAGGGTCTCCTTTGGATCAATCAGCTGACACCACAGGCTCTGCCTGTTCTGATGTGGAGGCTGGGGGGTCTGAAGGGTGCTGGCTTCTCTTCAGGGCCTGGAGCAGAAGGGACTGGAGCAGGTGCAGCTGATGGCCCAGGTATTTGAGTGGGCAACGCTTCTCAGGAGGAGCTGGCTTAGAGGAGGCTGTCTGGATGCTGCTGTGGTTCTGGCTTTTCTGTGAGAATGAAGATTGATCTGGAAACTTAGCCTAAGGCAGAGGTGGAATGCTGACCCTGGTCATTCCTGTGTCTACCCAAGCCCCACCATGTACATGCTCCAGCTGGCCTGCGGGGTGAACCACCAAACCTCTGCTAGCAGCATCCCAGCTTCACCCCATTCCATATAGTAAGTAAGGCCCATTTATGGTAGCCCTGCCCTGGTTTTGTCCTCCCAGGCCTAGGCTCTCCATCTTACCTGCTGTCCCATGCGGTGTGGTCTTTTTCAGGGCCCGTTCCTGTCTCCTGTTTCTCCAGCCAGCTGCTAACATCCTAGCTCTGCCCCCCCCATTAGTCCCAATTCCAGGGTGCCACTTGATCCTCAGCTTCCTCTGGCCAGATGTGGAAGCTGGAGTGGATACCCCTGGATTTGGGGATCTGGCAGCCCCAGGCTGAACTCTAGCACCAAAATGTGCTGAGGCTGCTGTCTCAGGAGGTTCTTGGGCCCCTTGGCTGAAGGAGGGCTTCAGGCCTGAGCATCTGTGGATGGTCCCTGAGTATGCCATCCTCATCCATCAGCTTGTTGCTATGTCTCTCTCAGGCATCCCTCAGATAAAGCCAGGTGTGTTTTCCACAGCTGGCAGAGGACCACTGAAAGGCTGGCCTGGATGAGATCCCACCCATTCTCTCCTGAGTGCAGGCCCACCTGGTACTTGATAAGCATGTTGAAAAACTCATCCCCTGGCTCCTGGGGGTCACCATCGCCTCGGAGGTGCCCCACATTGTTGAGCGTGATGCGTAGCCCAGGCAGGCTGCCCACGCTAGCCCTCTGGTCATCTAGCCGGCGGCTCTGGGAGCTGGCAATGAGGTCAAAGAACTCCTCAGTCTGTGGTGAAGCTGTCACAGAGGGCTGAGCTGCAAGGGACAGAAGGTGAGGCCTGGAGTGGGAAGGTGGCCACTGGTAGTTCTGGCATCTGGGGCTCGCCTGGCTCTCCCAAGGGAATACAGCCCCAGTAAGTCTTCTATGCCTGCTCCTAACCATCTTGCCCCTGCCCTGCCTCCCACCCCCACCTCCCAGGACTTCAGGAGCTGACAGGAGAAGCTTTGGCCTCCCACACACTCAAAGGCTGGGATGCACAGACACTGCGTGTTCTTCAGGGCAGAGTAATTATACACTTCACAGGATGCAGCTTTAGGGACAAGTGCGGAGGTAGTGCTGGGTGACAGAGGCACTTTGCAGCTGGCCTATCCTGCTCTTGGGGCTCCTAGGATTAGTGCTAGGTCTGGATGGCAGGCCCACCCAGGTGCTGTACTCACCTGCCCTCTCCTCCAGGGTTGCAGCAGCTGTGGCCTCAGCAGCCCCTGCCTGGCCTTCCTCTAGGGGACAGCGCTGGTCATCCATTCGACTGCTCTGGAACTTACTCAGCAGGTCAAAGAAGCACTCCTCATCAGAAGATGGGGCCCTGGGAATACCCTGGGTGGGGAGGAGAAGCCCAATTCAGCCCTCAGTGCCCCAGCCTCCTAGACCTGCTGGCAGGACTGCCCACCCTGATCACACACATTTCTAAGTCCTAGGGTCTGAGGACCCTCCCAGGTGCTACCACCATCGACACAATGCCCCCAACCTGCCTGTCTCCTGTCCCCACTTCTGTGGCTGTCACCTCCAGCCAGTCTCAGCCACTTTCCTGCCTTGCTGCTACCTCAGCCTTGGCCATCCCTACACAGCTTCAGCCTGGACTCTTCCCCGGGCTGACCCAGGTCAGAAGCCACTATCTTGGGAAGCCTTCTGTACTCCATCCCAGGGGGCCCTGTCAGTCATGAAGAGCTCCATCTATGCTTGACCCTCCCATGACCAGAGTAGGCCTCTGAAAGCATGAAGCTGGAATGTCAATCTGGCAGCAATGATGGAAGGATCCATAGATTATATCACCAAGGGCATGGAGGCCCATGTGGGAAGGTCTTGCCTCTTAGTTTAGGCCACACAACGAAAAGGTCCTAGACCAGCATCGATCTCAGAAGACAGCAGCTGGTAGGCATTGGGGGAGGAGGCAGTGTATGAGGGAAGACACTAACACTCCTAGGTCCTCTGTGAGCTGGTCAAGGGGAGGCCCCAAGTGACTGATGGGCGAGGGCTGGACCTCTACAGGGGTGGAGGATGGGTATACAGCTGCCTACTACTGAGAGTTCCTTCCTAGAGAAAGTTCTGCAGTCTGTACTGGGCTCCAGATCCCTGGGCTAACTGGATGTCAGGATCCGTCCTTCAATGTATGGATAGCTGAGTGCGGGTATGGGATAACTGTCCTAAGCCCAGGCAAGTCATGGGGGTGGAGAGGCCACTTCCAAAGGGAGAGTTTGGGCCTATGAATCCTGAGCATCAGGTGTCTAGAGCAAGTTGTGCCATTCCAGGCTCAGTTTACACATCCTTTAGAGACTCTGGTCTACCCTACAGCATGGGCCTTGAAAGCCTGGCCTGAGGTCCAGGACGGGCAATGGATGGGGTTCAGAGCCACTTGCTGTGAGAAGCTGGAACCTTCCCGAGCCCACAAAGTCCACACAAAGCAACTGCCAAGCTGTGGCCTTCTGAATACAGGAAGAGTCCTACCGAATGGCACTTCCCATGCCTGCAATGTCCCTGTGCACAGAGAGGTTGTACAGCCTACCCAAGATCACACAGAGGTAAGAACAGAACTGGGACCCGGATACAAGCAGACCTGGTGAACAACCCCAATTTAGGACTGAGCTCAGGATTCTGAAGGCAGTGAGAACCTGGTGGTGGGGCCTATGGACAGGGTAGTCACATGGCAGAGAAAAGAGAGACCCTACCAGATCTGTTCCCCAGGTTAACCTTGTCTCCAGGCTTTGTCCTTCTGTGGCTAAATAAGGCGGGCAGCCCAACACTGTCAGAACCAGGAGAAAAACCAGAACCAAGAGAAAAGGGAAAGCTGACAGACATCCTAGCCAGAGGAAAATGTGTGCCTGGGCTGAGCGGAGCCTGCAGGCTCAGCACTCCCCAAGGCCAGCGGGGGCTGCACAGGTATCTCTGGAGGCCTGGACACCTGCCTAGAGGAAGCTGCCTGCCTTCAGGGTTCAAGCTGTACTACAGAAAGGGTCTGCTTAGCACCTCCTCCACCACACATACCACACACACACACCCTCCAGACGTCCCTGCTCGATGGAAGCTCCTGAAAGGTCTGTATTTGCTCTGAGACCCCTCTTTCCCTAACTCCTGAGCTGTTAAGATACAGTGGAACCATTTCTAGGTTAGAGACTTAGGACTTGGAGTTCCTATGCTTACTGCCCTGTCCCTCCCTCTCATAACCCTCATGATCCCAGGTCTGAGACCATAGGTCCTTTGTCCTATGAAGACTGTGAAGGGCCTCCCTGTCCCCTGCCCACCACCTAAATCTCCCTTTGCCTCAAGTCCTGGCTCTTTCCCAAATGTCTGAATTCTTCTTGAGGTTTGACTGCAGTCTCCTCTACTTTAGTTTAAACTCAGCTCCTAGAGAAGTGTACAGACATTGGCCAGCCCACCCCTACCCTGGCTGACTGAAGTCCCTGAATGCCCAAGGACCCACACTCACGTGGAATCACAGGCTCCTTCCAGCAGAAGCAATCAGGAGCCGTATGGGTTCCAGGCCATGTGCAGCCCAGGCAGGATGCCAAGGTGCCAGGCACCACCTGCCTGAAGTGCCAAGTGCCTCCTCGCTGCTGTTGCTGGGACCCAGAGTATTCGCCTGATGCTTAAATAGGAGCCAGGGAGGAGGCTGGGCTCTCCCTGTACCCGCCCTCACTTCTGCAGCTCACGAGTTCTCAAACACACACACACACACACACACACACACACACACACACACACACACACAC